AGCAAATCTCCAGTGATTTTTTATTTTTTGAATTTTTATGTATCTCCCTCTATACCTGGGCAAAATAGACGCAATATTAAATATGATTTGGAAACCTTGAAATAAAAGCTTTCCCATAAATATATCAATAATAATAAAAATTTTAATTTTTATCTTTTCATTTTTAAAAAACGTTAATTTTACGTTAAGGTAACATAACATTGCAGCTCCCATTTAACCACAGTTGGCAATCTTGTCAACTGAGCTTCAATTTCAATGACTTAGTGCCGTCTTTCATTAAGGCAACCCTATAAGTCAGTAATGATTTGAGCAATTCGTATTCAAAATTTTTTTATACCCCAATTGAATATGTTTCTTATTAATGAAATTCTGGATGCATTTTTTTTCCGTATTTGTTACACATTTAATGGTCAAGCTTATCTCATCATAATATTATATATGGTAATTTGAAAATTAAATGTGAGAGTTGCGATTTTAGCAAAAAAGTTAAATATAATACAAGTTATTATGCTCAAACATTAACTTACAAATTTACTACTCTTAGCTTCAATTCCCAATGATCCACCAAATGCAACATATACCTTGGTTAGTATTACGAGTATAACAAGAGCCGCAAACGAAAACAGAAAGGAAATTAGAGAGAAGTATTCTTATGAAATATAGCGCGTTGGATAAATTGAAATTTACATTAAGTGTATTATTTAAAATCACAATTATTAAATGTGAGTCAGCTCTCTTGACTTCCGTAGAATGCACTTATTGTCATATCTTATACTGATCGTGTACTTAATAAAAATAAAAACCAAAATTTTGAAAAGTAATCTAAAACGCGTGTTTAGTGATTAAATTGCATTCCACGGGAATAAAATGCCGAAAGTAAAAAAAAAGAAAATTAGATGATAATCAAACAGTTCCACAAACAGATGTAAATAAAAAACAACTTTTAAAAAATATAAACTATTACATATCTGCCATTGCAACTTGATAATAATTATGTTATAGACTCTAATGAAATGTAAAGTGGCAATAATTTTGTACCTGTTAAAATAAAATTTTCACCGATTACTTTGGTAAAACAAAATTTTAATTTCTAACAATTTTAATTCACGTAACAGTTCAATTACTTTGTTACATGATGTAAGTTACTCTTCAAGTACAAATAAAAATTATAGTAGTGTTATAAAATAATAGTAGTAGAAGCATTAATGATAATTTTAGAAGTAATAATAATATTCATAGCTCTAATAATGTAAATGTAAATTACAAATTAAAAACAAATTTATTTTCATTTGAAGAATTAAACAATTTAACTTCTGAACTTTTGGCTCAATTAGGTGGTTTTACAAATAGGCAATATTTAATAGAATAGATAGTATTGAATACAATTTAATATTATCACTCAACTCACATTTAAATATATGTATGAAATTGATGGGTAGTTCCAACAAAGTTAAAAACATATTAATTTGAAATGCACGTACATTTCGTTATAAGAGTGATGAATTTTTTAATTTTATGCTTTCTAAAGATGTTCAAATTGGTCTTCTTAGCGATACTTGGCTCAGTAATGAGGTTAGAATTTCTCATCCTGTGTTCAAGATATAAAGAAATGATTGTGCTACTAGTAAGGGTGGTGGAGTTGCTATTGTAATTGATAAGAAACTAAATCACAGGTTAATACCGTCATAAAATACTCATGTTATAGAAAATAAAGGTTTGGAGCTCTATTTGGAAAATGGTTTTAATTTAAAAATTTTTTCCGTGTACTTTCCAAGAAATAGTTGTGCTTGTCTTAATCCAAATTGTTAGGTAAGTATAAATACTGAAAATAGGAAAAGTAAATTATTAAATCGGATATTAAAGGAGTAATTTAATTTTAAATTACAATTTTCTGAAAACGAAATTGTTAAAAATATGTACCAACAATTACTATAAAATACAAATTTAAACTTTTTAGTAGGTGATAACAATTTTATTTTAGTTTTAAGTATAGTTATAAGTTCGAAGTCAGACAAGGTTTTTCCCATTTTTCCTTGAAAATGTAGATTTCTCATTTAAATTAATAAAAACATTAAAAATATCTTAGTTGCTTTTAAAATAGCCAGAACTCTATAAAATCAATAGCTAATTATTTTAAGACAAAAATTTGTATATCATTGGAAGATTATAAATAAAAATTAAATTAAATTAAATGCGATAAGGTAACACAGATATGAAACACTGAAAAGTTAAAACTTATAATCAAAGTCATTAAAATAATGAGAAATCTAAGAAAAACTGTAAATTATGTTATTGTAAAATAATAGCAATTCTATAACCGACGATTAGAAAAACGCAAATTTTGTTAATAAAATTTTTACTGATTCTGTACAAAAAGCAATATAACAATAACAACCACTACAATTTTTCGATGTTTCATGCAAAATCGGCAACGTTTTATTTTCAATAAACCAAATCTTGATAAAGTTATGGGTATCACTACGAAGTAGGTTACTAACTTGCTAAATAATTTTAAAAATTTGTGATGAAAGCATTTAACTATAATTTTTAATTTCATAATTGATACTGAAATATATTCAGGTATCTTGAAAATGAATAAACTCGTCCAAATTACTAAAGTTGATGGTGCTAGTACGGCTGGTATAGAATTGAATATTTGCGTATTTGATCCGCAAACGATTAAAATAACTTGCAACTAGATGGCAAGCTAATTATGTTTTGAGATGATATACGTTATGTATGTTTTACCCACATAAATTCAAGTAAGTGTTATAAACACAAATTGAACATGATGCTTCATTAATATTAGAGTTAATATTGCTAAATATCTAGATAAACATTTCCAAAACAATTTATTTTGGCAGAATTTATCTCGAAGTGCACTTAAAAGCAAGAGTTTTGAGTACCATGAGTTTATTACTTAAATTAAAAAAAACAATACTATATGCATATAAAAATACTTAAGAATTTCAAAATTTTAAAACTAGTACATAATCTTCCTTTTAGGCAATCTATACTTACTCTACATAAAAATTTTTACAATGACAATCCTACCAATGACTATCTACACAAAAAACAGCTTGTATTTTTGTGTATGAATTGAGACACTCTATTGCTTATCATACTATTAAGTTCAATCAAAACCCACAAAATCTTTCGGCGATATGTATTTTAGAGCTTACAAAACAAAAAATTACTTACTCAGGATTATTTGAATATTATAAATTATCTAAAATTACGAGAAATATGGAAAAAGTATCTATTTTGAAAATTCACTCAAGTTAGTGATTAAAGTGGAAAATTATTAAACCGGTTTTTATAATGTGTGTTATGAAAGATTTATAATGAAATACTAATAACAAATTTAGTTGCAATAAATATGAACTAATCAATTGTATAAAATATGAAATATCATTATTGTTAGCTGTAAATATTATTTACCTTGTATATCTAATTGCGCTTTAGGCCTCTAAAACTCACCTAGTGGCGCGGAGGCCATACTTAAGCTTTTACGTTACTAGCAATGACAAATAAAACAGAAAAAAAGTAAAAGTGTTCCAGTTGGGCTAAACCAAGAGAATTATATCCTGCACCTTGAGTATAAAGAATTATTTTTGAAGTATTTAGAATTAGCTTTCATGGTTCACGGATTACCAAAAAATTTCACGGATATGTTTGACCTACCCACGACTGCTAAATTTCATAAATCTATCCTTTCCAGTATATTTTTCCAATTGGTGAATTTTTCATTTTTATAACCTGCGCCTTAGTGAAGCGTATATTTACTTTGGTATGGAGTTTCTAGCAATTTGAAGCAGCCGTTTCCGGTACGAACATGTATATAATTCTTGCTCGGCGTAAAATTCTTTTTGATTTAGACATGTCCGTCCATCCGTCCCCACGATCGTACGATAACTTAAAAATTAATAATGCAATAGGCACTTAACTTTCACAAGTTCTTTCTTTTCTGCCAAGGATGGCTGCTATTGCAACTAGGCCAACTCGGACAACAGGTTGGCATAGTTGCCACACAACTCAAAGAAGTTTGTCTAAATATTTAGACTAATAAATATATTAATATCAAATTTTACAAAATTGTATACAATTACATTTTACATATGCTCTGAAAAATTTTAATGGAATGGTTGCACTGGTTCAGATACTTCAACTCCAAATGCTAGTTCTATATATTCAGAAAAATAATAAAGCTAGATTCATGAAACTTGGCAGTCGTGTGTCCAATTTTCGGTCAGTTAATATTCCTGAAGTTTTCGTGGAATGGATTGACAGGTTCGGATAGGTCCAATAGAAGTCCAAAATCAAATTTTATATATTCGAGAAAATAATAAAGTTAGCTTCATGAAACTGGACAGTTGTGTGTCCGATTTTAGGTTAAACAAATTAGTAAAGTTTCTATAGAGCGCTTTGATATGTTTGAGTAATTGATATAAAACAATGAGAGTTAGTTCTAGATATTTCAAAAACAATTTTTGAACTCAAATTGTCAAGTTTTAAACTGACTGAAACATGGAACGAGTAAAAACTTGTCTTAACTTCGTTTTTGAAATTATTTCACACCTGAAAAAAATTTTTAATTTGATGCTTATAGCTTTTGTTTTCATTTTGTACTTAGTTTTGTTTTAGAGAAATAATCCTTTCACTAAGATCTACCTTTCACTAATGTAATTTCTTCTTTCTATGTTGAACCATGTACGAAAGTTTTTGGAAACAATACAAACGGAATAACAAAGGTAAATTAATCCGCACTTTTTTCAATTTAATGACAAGTACTTCAATAAAAATACAAAAAGAAATTAGGCGAATTTTTGGAAGTGTGGATCATACATTTGACATTAGTTTAGGCTTTAGTGAGAAAAATCTCTAACTAGGAGATGAATTTAAATGACAGAAATTTTATTCCAAAATACACATTTATAATTTAACATTAAAAAAAAAATTTTTATTTTATTTTATTAATTATCGAAATTAAAATTTTATAGCTTCCGAAGAGCCTCCATCATTTTCAACAACTCAAACTGGTGTAATTGATGCGATTGAAAAGAAAGCGGAAGAAGCTGCAGGCATTATAAAGGACAAAACCGGAATACCTACATGGGGAGTAGTAGGCATATTCATTCTAATAGCGGCTCTAATTCTTGGAGTATGTTTCTTTTGTATACGAAGATTTTTCAGAAAAAGACGGGGCAAAGATGGTAAAAAAGGTAAAGGAGTTGATATGAAATCTGTTCAATTGCTAGGATCAGCCTACAAAGAAAAAGTAAGTTCCATTCCCCCTTATCGCCAAAATAGTTATTGTGTGCTGCAATGTTATAGGTACAGCCGGATATGGAGGAACTGACAGAAAACGCTGAAGAAGGTGACGCAGAAAGTAAACAAAGTGAACAAAAGTTGGGAAAACTTAATTTCAAGGTAGGAGAGGTTATACCAATACATGCATGTTTGTGTGTATTATGATTTGTAACAAACCTACTACCGTACACTGCATGAAACGCTATAATAATAAATAAAATGACAATGTAGAAAAGCGCGACTAAAAACTTCTTTCACAAAACTACTATCGGTAATTAAACTATTTACAGATTTCAAAAGTTTACTCTGGTGACATAAAAGCTTTAATTCCAACTTTTTAATTAGTTTTATTTACTTAATATTAGAAGAAAGTGTTTACATTAAGGATAGTTGGAAAAAATACACCTATACATTCAAATTCTCTTGGCTGTTTTGCATTGCACTTGAAGAACTGTTTTATTTAAAATTTTAGTACTGCATCAAGTTTCTCACACAAAACTTTTATAAAATAAATAAAATTGAACGCTCCCAAAAATATAATATTGAATATTCTGTTTTATTGTTTGAGTATTAATATTTGTTTTTCATTCCTTTTTTAAATAAAATCTTACAATAGTCAGATAGGTATATTTCATTTATCTTGAGATATATAACACCCAAAAAGATACATTTATACACCATATCGAACCATAGAATATATAATTTCTTGCTCAGAATCGACCTTATGTTTATCTAGTTGTGTCCATTCATATGTGTCAAGCGTTCATTCGAGAACAAAATATTTTTACTGCATGCAGAGAGGTACTGAAAATGAATGATCATGCCGCATATTGTTTGCAAAAGTCTCTGAAACCTTTACAACTTTTGTTAGACAACTGTTTGGAACATCGGTTCAAAAGACCGCACCCCCGCCCCTTTTCCTTTTAACTGCGAGCGGCAATATCACGCTCCCCCAAAAGCTGCACTGATGTTCCCCCTTCGTCCTCAAAGAATTTACAAATGTTTCCACTTTCCAGGCGCTTCCTAAGTCTGCAGTGCCCTGATAAGATCTCGCCAAGAATTCTCACCTGATTCTTGCCCAACCCTATAACTTCCTTAAATTGCTTCTCGTCATAATCCCCCAGAATTTCATTACCTGGAAAGGGATGGCCGATTCAATTGACCGCCTCCGGGTAAGGAGAGGTGTGTCAGTCACTTTCCTGCCTCATTGCCTTAAGAATATAACTAATAAATAAATTAGCATGAAAGTTTCAAAGTTTTGAGTTAAGATGCGGTAAATTTGGAATTGGCGAATATTCATTGCTCTTTTAAAAGACGAAAATTTTTAAATTCGTCGATTTTATTCATTGACAGCTCTTACTTTCTAATAAAATTTAATATGGTATCATGGGAAAGGAAGACACTTTTTAGATAATGAAGAGATTATGAATAAAATTAAGTTATAATATTTAGGCCGAAAAAGAAAACGAATTTTGCTTTCTATATATGGCTTCATATCTTCTTTGCACAAAATTAATTTCGAAAAAAACATAGAAGGCAAATACACTAGAAATAAATTCATTTTCCAGGCAAAAAAACAAATTTCCAAAACAAATATTTTCAAACAGATTTTGTTTCGACAAACATAAAAACTTTCATTTTTTTTAAATAAATAAACATCAAGTTACTCAACACAGTGGTCGCATATTAGACTTAAACCTCTTTTGTGAGTTGGAATTAGAGGAAATTATATTCACAATTTTCAAATTACTTTTACACTAATATTTTGCCAGTAACTTAAAGCAGCCAAGAGTGTAAAGCATATGCAATATATTATGTGCGTTTAGATCAACTTCAAATAACATGTTTTCCTCTACACTTGATTGTCGTAAAACAAAAATAATGATGGGCTTTGAGTGTGCATCCAAATTTTCTTTTTAATAATTTTTTTTAATTTATTTTTCTTATTTTCGCAGCTTGAATACGATTTCAACAATAACAGTCTCTCTGTGACAGTCATACAAGCAGAAGAGTTACCAGCGTTGGACATGGGTGGCACATCTGATCCATATGTCAAAGTTTATTTATTACCCGATAAAAAAAAGAAATTTGAAACAAAAGTGCATCGGAAAACTTTAAGTCCTGTCTTCAACGAAACTTTTACCTTTAAAGTATGTATGAACCAAATTTTGCTTTAAAATAATACAATTATTTAAATAAAAACTATCTCGATGTCAGAAAAAGTAAAACGTATGTTAGTTGATGTTCACTTACTGGTTTTAGGAACTTCTTTAACAACACCAAATTTAATTAATGCAGCCTCCTCACGCTCGCACTTGTCATATCTCCGCTCCAAGTATGAAGCCGAAGATATCCCCAAGGCTGGGCAGTCGCAAAGAATGTACGCGGGGGCTTCGTCGCCGCCCCAAAAAATTTGCATAGAGGGGAGCTCCATTTTCCAAGCCTATACATTTGATACCGCAGTGGTGATACTGATTTCCGTAAAGAAATTCGCAATAGCACGGATCCAGCTCCTATTCATCCCCACCAACTCTCGTGAACTTCCCCGAACATGATGGAAGAAACACCTTCTCTCGAACGTTACGACACCCTTTCGTATCTCACTAGTAAAGGCCGTATTCCGCCACGAGCAGGGAGGCGAGCCTAGTCCCCACGGCGGAAGAAGGCGGACCACCGAAAGGCAGTGGCTGCACAAAGTCAACTTCAGATCTCCTCCGGGCAAGCCCTACGATAACTTCGTTGCCCACATGTCCACTAAGGCCCGGCACCCAAATAAGCGTTACTCTGCTTAGCGATGCCGATTTCACAAGAGCAGGTAGCTCCAGACCAGCCTGGGCGTATGAGAATAAATAAATGGTACAGTTTTTATACCCTATTCCCAAACTGGCTCTCAGACAGAACTATATTGCACGTATTTCAGCTTAAAACACTGTGCAATACGGGTCCAGACTCTTATATATACGTGTGTCTGGATTGACACCGTATACGCCCGACACCATTTTGGACTCACTCTCGTACCACATGCTTGAACCCAACTTAAGTATCGGATCGCCCCAACCACACGTCCATCGATCGGAAATCAGAACCCTGTACCTGCAGTCAAAATTGTACCGTGTCAGATTGGAATCCGACATGGTTATTCTCAGAATCGGATCGCTTTTTAATAAAATATCTGTGAGACCTGTGGGCCAATTTTTGCCACGCCTCGTCCTCGCGCGAGAGATATCGGTAGGTCATTAGCCGAGCTTTCTTTAGTATGTATAGATGCAGTGGTGGCAACCCAATCATTAACTCCAATGGAGCAGTGGGAGCCGTCTGCGTTGCCGCTGCAACTCCCAAGCAGGTCAACCTCTGAAGTTTCCAGCTTGGCTTGATCGTATTTTGGGCTACTGATACCCCAGGCCCAACGAATGTAGCTCTTACACGTCCATAATGTCGCCCTAGCCGTTACAAAATCTACCACGTGGAAACCATCATAATTTGGTAAAAAATTAAGAAGGTTTACCTCATGGAAACCGAACAAATCACCAAATTTAATTATGTATGCTTTGGAATTACTTGAATAAAGCAACTACAATTTATTGTCCCCTGTAATTAATGCTTTTCAAATTTGTTTATTTAATTACGTTTTATATGTCGTACTCCGTTTAGCAAATCTGATAAGAAGTTTAAGATTTAAACCTAAAATTTCAATTTTATCTCTTAAGAATTGAAAAAACTTAAAGAACTGTATGATGTCTTAAGTATAGGATTAAGAATATTTTTTTTTTTTGAATATTTGAATACAAAAAATATTCACAAAAACAGTATCATAACATGCAAACTATAGACCATTACTCTAAAACTTCTTATAATGTACCTGCTTGAGGAATTTTAGTACTCAATACAAAATCAATAATTTGGCTTTTGTGAATGTTTTACTAAGGAGTCAATCCATATAATGAAATATTATATTACATTATATTATATTTTATAAAATAATAAATAATTGTAACAAACATTGATATTTATAACAAACATTATACAGAATCTTTATTTCTAATTAGATTTACATTAAGAAACAATTTTAAATGCGAACATTCTCTTTAACTAAACAGAATTTACCATATGCGGAAGCCATGAACAAAACATTAGTTTTTGCTATATTCGATTTCGATAGATTTTCTAAACACGATCAGATTGGAGAAGTAAAAGTGCCATTATGCACAATCGACTTAGCGCAAACTATCGAGGAATGGCGCGAACTTGTCAGTGTTGAAGGAGAAGGTGGACAGGTAATTGAAAAAGTTTTGAAAAACAATTTAATTTTTATTATATTTCCTATTACATATGTATAAACAGAATTTACCCCTTTTATTATTTTTATTTAAAAAACTTTGAATTTTAGTAAATAAATACATTTATACCTTTAAAATTGAACACAAGATACAAGAATTATATAAGTACATACCTCTGGAAATAAATAATCTCTTTCCAAATACATATTTACTCACAACAAACGTCAAAAATATTACAACTTTCAACAGATATTAATATTTATATACATATATATATATAATATTTTGTAATTAAATTTGTTTCTGTATATAAATATACAGATATATTATAACATGTTATAACATATTATATTATATTATATTATTATATTATATTATATTATATAATATAATATTATATTATATTATACTATATTATATTATATATTATATTATATTATATTATATTATATATTATATTATATTATATTATATTATATTATATTATATATATTATATTATATTATATTATATTATATTATATTATATTATATTATATTATATTATATTATATTATATTATATTATATTATATTATATTATATTATATTATATTATAATATATTATATTATATTATATTATATTATATTATATTATATTATATTATATTATATTATATTATATTATATTATATTATATTATATTATATTATATTATATTATATTATATTATATTATATTATATTATATTATATTATATTATATTATATTATATTATATTATATTATATTATATTATATTATATTATATTATATTATATTATATTATATTATATTATATTATATTATATTATATTATATTATATTATATTATATTATATTATATTATATTATATTATATTATATTATATTATATTATATTATATTATATTATATTATA